TGTTTCTTATAGTCCCAGCATGACATATTTGCCATTTCCGTACACTTTTCATGTGGCTCCTTAGCTCAATCAAACTCCGAGTGTGTAACTCCAGCCGGCTGATACGTGCTTCTCTCTCTCTCTCTCTATTTTCCATTTTTCATTTTATTAATTAATGTGAGCTTAAGATTAGTTCATCGTGATTTGAACACTAGGAACATCTGACCCTTTCGGCACCCACAAAGACGAGTTTTATACATTGATATATCTTCTATTTTTATTTGATTAACCCCTCATAAGTTTGCTCTTCTTATTTACTATTATAAGTGAAATGTAATTAAAGATAAAGATTGATTCTGAAGATGGTTGAAAATGTTTGTCGAGCTTCAAACGTCTTGATCAGTTAAACTTGTATCTTGATCGTCCAGTAGATACACCTGCAAATACAAGTCAAATATCAAAATAATTTCAGAATCAACCCTCCAATTGTTAAACCAGATAGAGAAATTGAAAAGGTCCAAAATGATTGTATTGGTGTTAAATTCACTTACTTTGCTCTTCTTCATAGACTCCCCTCTAATAGACCCTTTTAGTTAGGCCGTTAATAAATCCTACTCCACCTATTTGAACAAGGGCTGTTACCCGTTTGATATAGTTTTATTGACTAAGTAGAGGTATTAGTTGAATTGAATTAGTTAAAGTTGTTATGAGTCAGGACTCTGCCAAGCTAGAAGCCTGGGGAGTTGGTGGGCTAGCGAGCTGGAGCTAGTCTGAATGAATTCATGTGCAAAGCATGGGAGATTGTTTGTAATTAACCCAGCATTAAAGGGTTAATTATAAATTGTTCCCTTCAATTTTAGGTGTTGTTGTAATTAACTTACTCATGTTTCAATTTAACAAATTACTCCTCAAAGTTTTAAATCGACTAAATTGATTGGGAGAGCTAACTACAATGTAAAAATAGATTACACCATAAAACTTTACCATCATTTCCCCCGAATGATTGTTGAAATGCCAAACTCACCCTTAACAAATAAAAAATACAATGAACAACACAAAACATTCGTTCACCATCCCAACTCAAAATCAACCATCGCCGCCACTTGCCATAACTTAAATAAACCACTGGCTCAACTCACCACCACCATCGCCCCCCAGCACCTTTAGCTCCGCCAACAACCGCTGAACCGCGTATCCCCAGTAAAGCAACATCTCCAATATAAAATACAGCCAATACAACCCAAGACACTTCCACCTGCAACCACTCTAACTAGCGCACACAACCTAAATTTTCTTTGTTTCTCTACACATCAATTTATCTCTTGCGAGGCTTCACAGGGGTGGTTTTGTTGTTTCCGAGAGAGAAAGAGATAGAGTAACAGATTCGTGAGTAGGGGGCGTTCACAAGGGATTCACCATTAGAGAGAAAAATAGAAGATCTGAGTGAGGGTTTCTTAGTAGAGTTTTCACCGTGAGAGGGAGGGAGGTTTGGGGGGGGGGGGGTTTTCACCATCAGAGACAATGAGATCTGTGAGTTTGGGCTCACTTTCGGCGGAGAAAGAAAGGTGAGTAGGGCACAGAGGAAGGGGAGCAGGAGGATGGGGTTAAGGGCAGTTAGGGTTTAACGAAGGGATGGGGAAGAATCTGGGAAGGGGTAATTTTGCCATTTTATCAACTCCGTGATAACGTGTATTTCATGTGGCCAATACCCGTCGCTTTTAACGGCTGAAAACTAACGGAAAGAGTTAATTGTAAAATATTCAAGATGAAAGGGTGTAATTTGTCAAAATCAAAACCTGAAGGAGTTAATTGTAACAACAGCTAAACTAGAATGAGACAATTTATAATTAACCCAAAATAAAAATAAAAAATTCTTGAGCGTAACAAACTGAAAATGGAAGTAGCAAGCAAGTCAAGATGGAAACTTCGTTCAATTTTCTTAATAAAATTGTTGCAAGTCTGTTCAACCCCATAATGACCTAGTACGTAGGCATGGGACCAGGGTGTTCTAATCGCCAAAAATAGAATTGACTTATATGTCAAATAATCTTTGTCTATGCATTAATCTCCTCCTAATTAATGAAAATGTTTTCCTAATTGGTCTCTTATATCCCTTTCCACATTGCCCATTTGAGAGGGAAAATGGGTACGTAGGCATGGGAATCCCTTCCACAAGCTTTTAATGACGATGTCATTGTATCCAACCCTCTCTAACAAGTCCAATTCAAGTGGAAATGGGATAAAACCCAAATCTTTTGAACAATTACAAGTAACTTTTACTCAAAGATGTTGTCCTCCATATTTGCCATTCAAACACGAGTGGCCAGGCGCAACAAAAAGATCTTAATAGGAGAAGTGGGTGGGGTTTGAAGGGCATGAGCCAACAACTTCAATTTTTAAATACAAGTTGTGAGAAATTAGAAGGGGTTCATTTTGGAAGGGTGAAAGTGATAAAGCCAGTGCCTGCTCAAGGGTCTCTAATCAAAATAATGTTATATGAATTTAAAAATTAAACTTAAAAAATAGACTTGATTATTACAACTATTGAATACATAGTCGATCCCAATAAATGTTGAGACTCACAGTAAAATCAATTGTTATAATTATCAAGTCTAGTTTTTAAGTTTATACATCATTGTTCAACCAACTATGAAAAGAAAGTTCCATCAAAAACACTTTTCGATATTGTATATTCACTTTTCAATTAATTAAAGCACACAATTTGTGTAATTATCGGATTTAATTGTCAATTGTCTCTATCGGAAATATGATTGACTACGGATTTGAGCCATAGCATATGATTTCATAAAATCGCACGATTTTCTCATTCTAAATCAAACAGGTTTTACATGAAGAAGATTTGATTTAGTATGTTTTATTCGATACGGGTAAGATAAGAACTTGACTCGATATTTAAAAAAAAAATAGACGAAGTAGAATCAAGTGAAGATGATACGGATCAACCCATTCTTCTTGCGCCAAAGATCTTACAATTTGCGAAGGAACTGGAGTTAAATCTCTTTTCTATTTTCATTCAATTCAAGAGTTCTTATGTGCTTTCACGCTCGCAAAGATAAATTTATTTTTATAAATGATTTCATTCAAAATTAATGGTGAGATTGATAAAAGTAAGATAGGGTACCAAAGTAGCCTTACTCTGAAAAGAAAATTATTTCATTCAAAATTGATGGTGAGATTGATAAAAGTAAGATAGGGTACCAAAGTAGCCTTACTCTGAAAAGAAACTGATGGTCAACCAGATATCATGCCTTGGGATGATCTATGGCTGATTTGTTGTTGAGAATAATCTAAAGTGGACTACAAAGTTCCAAAAACCAATTTGACCAAATTACACTAACACCTAGTCGTTTCTAATACTTTTAAAGAGTATCCTCATAATTCTTAGATTATGTTAACATACCCAATCTAACTATTCTCAAATTGTATCGATAGAGAGGATTATCATATTGTCAAAACCTAAAATTAGAATACTGGACCTCTACTTTTCCTAAACCCTTTTACATAACAAGCCCTTACGCTTACACAATCAAACAAATATTACTATCACTACAATAATCACCCCTACATCTCCTCTCTCACTCCCCCACACACTCTCTCGTGGTCGACAACCCTTTCCCTTCGACAATGCCATATCAAACGAACCGAATATTGGACATTAGAAATGTGTCTTATGTAATACAAATCCAAACCAGAAGTTGCAACCTTAGAAAATATAATGATACTCTTTGTAATTAATTGAAACTACTAGGGAGGGATGTCAGTATCTTTTTTCCATAATTTTAATGCTGGTAGTTTTCTTGTTTATTGCGCCTCTCTCACTCTCCTTCTTCCCTATTATAAAATGCCAGACGTGACATGGCTGGACTTGGCTCGACTTTGGAGCTGTAAATTTGACAGACTACTCCATCTTCCAGCCTAGAGATAATATCAAACATACAAATTTGATCCACTTCTATTGTAACTGTGAGAAGTTTTAATAATAGTATTTGTAATTAGTCACCGATAATCTAATTTATTGTAGTAATATATTATTGTTAAACTTTATTTAACATTAAAACTCACTACTAATTTAAGGATGATAATATGTTGTGTCAATGAATTTGATTGAATAACTCTTAATCGCCTAATATATAAGTTTAATCTCATAATTTGTGTAATAATTGTGTTGCCTTATAGTCATTAGTCCTTAAAGGTATATCAGATTTTATTGTTCTTTTCACTAATGAAAAATGTGGCTAGTTAATTGTTAATTAGTGTACTTGGATGACTTAATCTATTGACTTAATTACTCACAATTGTTGAAATGATAATGGGTCTTAAAATTCCTTAATATTTATTATCATTGTGATGGATTAAATTAATAATTTATATCACTAAATTAAATCTAATTTTTGATTAAAATAATTAAGTAATATAATTTAAGTCAATTAATATTCCCCTTCCTATCGTACAACTTTGTGTTAAGCTAACCTCCACATTCTCGGCTCCCAGTCCGACATCTCTCTCTCTCCTCCATCGGAAAAAAATTCAATGCAACACTGATTCTCGATATCTCCGGCCTATTATAAAACTCCAAATGAATAACGTGGATTTTATTTAGTTAATTATTGATTTATATAAAAGAAGAGTATATAATTTTTTTTTTTTTTGATGTTGAAAAAAAGAGATGGAAATAGAGAAGAGCTCTTAGAGACTATTTTTATAAGTCTGAATCATACAGTCAATGATCGTGCTTGTTATTTCTTTCGAGAATAAACTTAACTAGATTAATATAACAGTCGACCATTAAATTTTAATACTCGAACTTCTAAACTCAAAATAAAAAATTTGACCGATATCTTACTAAATCATCCCAGGAGATGAAAATATGTCATTTTTCCTACAAAAATATTCACTGAATGCAGCCATGTAGGACAGCATATACACAAACTTCATTCTCATAAAATCCCACTACCACCATAAAAAATCAAAAGAATCGCCCCCCCTCCCCCCCTTCTCTCTCTCTCTCTCTCTCACAATCACACACTACAGCATCAACACCCGCACACACTACAACATCAACACCGTTGCACACACAACTGTCTCTCTCCTGCATGTCCTTGAACAAAAACAAGCTTGCCAACCATGAAAACAAATACCCACCAAAATCACACCACCACCACCACTAATGGCTACTACGCCACCGAATCCAACAACAACTCTGTACTCCCACATTGCCGCCGGAGACCTCAAAACGGAAAATCTCACTCTCAGGACTCCAGGCGTGAAAATTCCGTTGCCGGGATATTCCTGCGGCGAAACCTCCTTAAATACTTCCTCCGCAAAAAACTCCTCAAGTACATGCTGCTCTTGGCTCTTCTCTACTTTTCTGGTTTGTTCACATGTGTGGGTCCCTTATATGATTTTCTCCACCCTCCACTACCTGGGTCAGTCTACCGTAGTCATGAGATTTTTCAGCAGCTTTGGCATCAGATTAAGGCTGATAATTCAACTGGAATTGAGGTTTGTTTCATAGGTTTTATTTATATTTTTTTACTCTGTTATTTTAATTACTTCGCTAATGGATGTTTGCTCATGGGTTTTCTCTATGTTCTTCAGGGTTTTGGTTGTTAGTTTTTTTTTTTTTTAAGTACTCTCTCTTTGGTTGCTGAGCAAGTGTTAGTTTGTTGAATTTAGTTGATTTTTAGATGATGATGTTTGGTTAAGGTGTTTCCTTCTTTCCTCGTAATTTTCAATTTTGACTACTTTCACAATTTCCTTTCGCTTTTTGAATTACTTTCTACTTGATTAATTATCATGTGGAAAAAAGTAAACTTGGAATTTTGAATAATTTCTTACCAGTTGGCTCCAGAGGCCTGCATGAGGTGTCCTTTTTTCCAGTTTATGTGGCCTATTATTAATGCTACTATTTGACTTTGTTGGCTCATTTGGGCTATGGTTATCTCCATTTTTCAAAGACAATGAATTAATGAATCATTTTTATGAAATCAATAGGTATATATATGCATATATTCACTTTTCTTCTTGAACTCCATATGCAGAAATATACTACACTTAGAATCATGTATTATGTAGATTGAGAACAGATATACCATCTTATCCGTAAAATGCTTGTTGAATAGGAAGCGTGAATGCTGAGTTTCTGATTATGTCCCTTAAGTCGAAGGAAAAATATCCTTTTCATACTTGATATCTGTAATTGAGGATACGTTGTCAGAATCCTAGGATAGTGGAGTGTTCGAATACCTTTATAATTGGGTATTTTAAACTGCTCTAACTACAAGGTGTCCTCATAATTGGGACTATTGGAGACTATTGATAAGTGCTTTTATGTTTGTTCGTATCTTGCAGTCAGCAAGTTGCAAAATACAGAAATTCATGTGCATAGGATGCAACTGGTAGTTCAGACTTGGATTATAAGAATGCAGGCAATGAGAGATTAAATGAAGAACAAATGTAGCAATGGAGGATTGTAGCAAAGACAGACTTATCATCTTTTGCAACACAAACATACATATGTGTTTGCCAATCCAAACCTTGTACTCTGACCCTGCCTATGTATTGGCATGGCTTACCCTATTCCCAGCCGTGGTGAATGGGGTTGGGGATTGATATGAGCAAAAAAAGCGTGAACATGACACTATTGGTGTGGAGATGCATTAGAAATTAATGAGATACTGTCTAGAATCATTTTTTCTACAGGAACCATGGGGAAATTGTTATTATTGTGGCTCCATTATTTTTTCCGTGATTGGGCACTTGCCTCTAAAGTTTCACATTTGTGTCCACTGTTTTTTTGTTGCTTTTATTAGTCCGTCTCTAGAAGCTTTTGTGAAGTTCTCTGAACAACAAAAGCAGATTTTGTTTGATATCTTAGGAAGTTTTTAGTTGGTTTGATAATCATCAGTCATACGGATAAAAGAAGTCTTTCTTGGGAAGAGTTTCTTGAAAATTCTGTGATGCTACAGAACCTAGATGAGTGGATGTATGGTTTCACTTGTAAGTATCTATTGTCCTTACTGGCTAGTGGTTATTGTTGATCAGACTTACCCCAGTATGGTTATAAGTGTAATTATGGAGGCAACCCTGAAGCCGCTGTACATTGACTAGACTAGTATGTATGAAGTGAAGAAGTGTAATAAAACAAGATAATTTGCAGCTTGAAGCAGATGAATTGTCTGATAGAGATGGAAAGCTTTCTTATTAAGACGGTTTTTTTTTTAAGTATATGCACGTTAAATTCCAGAATGAAATGCATAATCTTGGAAGCAATAGGATACAAAATATTTGGTTACTCTATGGTGAAATTAATGTGGTATCTTTGTAGTTAGCTGAGACGTTTTGTCGGATTTTATTGTAGTTGTCTGCTGTCTGGAGATACAAAAGGAAGCTGAAAGAGCACAAACCCTGTCCAAACACAATGGCTGGCATACGTTTTGGTAGAAAAGCTAAATTCTTATTTTCTGCTCCACTTTTTTCACCTTCTTAAATGATAAATATTTTTTTTTACTATGTGAGTGTTCCATAATTTGATTGTATATCTCCCAAATTCTATCTTATATAACCACTTGGGTGGCAACTGGCTACAGCAATACTGTTGGAAATGAAGCCTTAAATTAAAAGGAAATAGTTTGTGTGTCTGAATTTATGCACTAATGTGTACAATTTGTCCATTTCAGAGTCTCCTGGGACTGAGCTATATTTGATGATTGAGGCTAATGGTGGCCTTAATCAGCAGCGCGCATCGGTATGTGATTTCTCTTCATGTTGATTATGAACTTGTTTTACATGTTACTAGTGTTCTGTAGTTTATACATGTGAAAATCCAAAATTTCACAACTTGATCTAAATATAACAAAGTATATTTGGTCAAAAATTTTTCATATCAACAGACTAATCAATAAGGAAAGAAAGGAAAAGTGGAAGAATGAATGGAAAGGATGAAATTCCAGCTTCACTGAACTAGATGCAGACATGAGTGTGTGATGTAGGACAACTTTGTAAAATAAAAAATAGGGACTGTTTAAGGGCTGTTTGGGGACTGTGAACAGTACTCTTGAACAGTAATGGGCTGTGAACAGTAGCATAAACAGTAATTTTGGTTAGGAATCAGTCCTAGGGTTCCGTAGGCATCACACCCCACCCAGGATTAGAATTGCATCACACAACTCAAGAAACATGTAATTGCTCAAAATTCTCAATATTTCTCCTCTATCTATTATTAAAAGTAACACTAACTATATATAGAGTTTTAAGTAATCCTAATCCCAAAAGATTAGGATTCCAAAGTCTCTAGAACTTTAAAGGCACTAGATCCCTACAAATTAGAAAACTAAAATTAAATAAAACTAGAACTTTAAATTTTAGAATATTCAATACTAGAATTTGACCCAAAAATATGACCTATTCCAGAAATTCTAGAAATTACAAAAATACCCCTAACACTAAAAATATTAAAAAGACATATAAAATATTAATACTAGCAAATTGACTTAAAATAAGAATGCAAGGTTACATATGGATCTTTGTCTTGATGGAAAGTCAATTTCATTATCTTTTGCATCTTCGAATTTGTGTTTCCTTGAACATTTTATAGATTGCATCATTCTCCCCTGGTTGGAGAAAACTCGACCTCGAGTTTTAAAGTGTTGCAGTATGAAAGTCTAAAAACTTTGAACTTGTATATGTAGCTATCTATGAGAAGCGTTAAGATGATATTTCTTTTTGTTCTCTAATTGAGGGAACAAAGAAAAAATTTAAAAATTGATCTCTTGATTGTGTCGTTAAAATTTTGGAATAATAAAATCAATTGGTGTAGTAAAGTGGATAGAAAGAAGCATTGGTGACTCTTCATGTAGATCCTTGAAAGATGCAAATAAATCAAGCTCTTGGAACATCATTGTTACTGGTTGAAAGTCATTAATGGGAACAATTTTACCGGGCAACACTTTTAGCACTATTTCAGAGCTCTTAGGTAGTAACGTATTCATCTCTAAAGACACATTTGATTCAATGCTAGTTGCTGGATTTTCCATCTTGTTAGGCTCCACAACAAAAAAATTGTCTGGATATTCACTTTTTACCTTAGCCTCTGGACAAGTAAGTAGCGTAGTTACTTGGGATTGTGTTGATTCTTCTACTTGATTTCCTTCATTTTGAATTATTCGATCAGTTGTTACTTTGGGCTGCCCTTGATGAATCTTCTCTAGTTGCACAGTAGAATCTAAATAACTTTGAGTTTTACCCCTTTGCGAAGAAGAAACCCTTGATATACCTACTTGGTGAAGGAAATTTAGGTATGTCTCCGTACCAAGTGCCACTTGGAATGCATGCTCTACGTTGTATAGTGGATGCCCAAGTATTTTTGCCTTTATATTTGCTCTTAAACCAGCCTTGAATCGAGCAATTATTTGGCAAGGTTCTTCTATGATATGGTTTTTTAACATTAGGTCTTCAAATCTTTGAATATACTCTATAACAGATAGGTTACGTTGTTGCAGATTAATAAGTTGTTTGCACAACTTGCTACTATAGTTTGAGGGCATATACTTCTGTTGAAGCTTAACTTTCATCTTTTGCCATGTGTTTATAGGAGGTTGTCCCAATCTTCTTATATCTCCTTCAACACCAAACCACCTAATTTTTGCCAAGCCTACAAATTTCATCTTGGCAAGCCTTACTCTCATCTCATCTCATCTCATCTGAGAAATTATATCTAACAAAATAGTTCTCCATAGAAACAAGTCAACTAGAGAATATTGTAGAATCATCCCTTCCATCAAAATCTTGGATCTTCATCATCATATATCAATATTTAAGCCGCATAACATAGGATTTTTCGGCCCTAATATCAAACTGATATAGGACAACTTTGTAAAATAAAAAATAGGGACTGTTTAGGGGTTGTTTAGGGACTGTGAACAATACTCGTGAACAGTAATAGGGCTGTGAATTGTAGTGTGAACAGTAATAGGGCTGTGAATTGTAGCGTGAACAGTAATTTTGGTTAGGAATCACTCCTAGGGTTCCGTAGGCATCAAACTCAGGATTAGAATTGCATCACACAACTCAAGAAACATGTAATTGCTCAAAATTCTGAATATCTCTCTCTATATATTATTAAAACTAACACTAACTATATATAGAGTTCTAAGTAATTTTAATCCCAAAAAATTAGGATTCCAAAGTCTCTAGAACTTCAAAGATACTAGATCCTTACAAATTAGAAAACTAAAATTAACTAGAATTAGAACTTTAAATTTTAGAATATTCAATACTAGAATTTGACTCAAAAATATGACCTATTCCAAAAATTCTGGAAATTAAAAAAATTCCCCAAACACTAAAAATATTAAAAAGACATAAAATATTAATACTAACAAATTGACTTAAAATAAGAATGCAAGGTTCCATATGAATCTTTGTCTTGATGAAAAGTCAATTCCATTATCTTTCACATCTTCAAATTTGTGTTTCCTTGAACATCTTATGGATTGCATTAGTGTGGCAACTGGCAAAAGCTGTAGGTGCATTGCACAGATCTCCCCAAATTTTTTCTTCCTGCTGCATTTGGTTGTAGAAGACAGGACAAGAATAAGTTATTATTTTAAAACTGTGTTGTTTCCTTTCTGTTAAGCAATTAAATGGACAAAAGGCTGCTGAGGCATGTGTGTGATGAACTTCTATATTCTCTGCATGTGCATCTAAACTTATGCTCAATCCTACTTGTTTTTCTTGCAGATCTGCAACGCAGTGGCTGTGGCTGGGCTGTTGAATGCGACTCTGGTGATCCCTAGGTTTTATTATCATAGTGTTTGGAAGGATCAAAGGCAAGCTACATATTAGTTGCCTTTAGTTGTGTTATTTATATCAAAATTTCTATAGGATAATGATTTGCGCAACCTGCTAATAATGCCCCTAGGAGGGGATGGAGATGCTGTTGTTTGATGTGTATTTCTATTTTCTTATGATTGTTCCACTATGATTTAAGATTTTCAGGATAAGTTATTCCTGTAATAAAAGCAACAACCTTCCAAGTATATCTTCTTGTTCTTCAATGAATGAACAATTTATGGACTTAGAAATTAATGCTGTTGTTCAATTTTAGTTTCTTTATCAAAACACATTTGGGCACATCCAGTCACGACTAATAAATGCATTATAACTTTCATTTTTCTAGCTGTTTACGTGAATTATTTTTCTACTGGTGCTTTACAGTAACTTTAGTGATATTTACAATGAGGACCATTTCATAACAACGCTTGAGGGCTACATGAAAGTGGTGCGGGAGCTGCCTGATGAATTAATGGAAAGATACGATTTTAACATCAGTAATATACCAGTCTTCCAAGTCCCAGCTTGGGCTCCTACCAGATACTACTTGGAAGAAGTTTATCCTGTCTTACGTGTGCAAGGGTAGGTACTCAATAATACGTAGTCAATAATTGTCTCCATCAGTCATAATTCTTCTCCTTGCAGGCTGTAGTGAATTGGGTACTGTAGAAACTTCTGCATTTGATGATTTAATAAATGAATAATGAAGGTCGAAAATTCTACTAAGCTAGGTTGATGAGGGAAATCCATCGTGGATGTTGCAAACCCATGTACATATGTTGAATAATAGTTCATGTAAAAGAATGTTTTGATGGCAGAACTCCCTAAAAGGCTGTCTTTCTTTATGTTGTTTCATGGAATCTTCAAATTGTGTAAACTATCTTGTTAGTTGTGAACGAATTGGAAAGTTGTCTATTTGTTAATTTAAGTGGACCCAATTTCTAAATTCTTGTCCCAGCTTTGAGGTTATTTGTTATGATGAAGATAGGTTTTGTGCGTACTGAAAGTGATGGTGGGCTTAAATCCTATAGAGAATACTAGGATATGCATGTTTTTCTATGTATTACTGCACCTGATATCCCGTGAGAGAGAGGGTGTAATGAGAGTTTGTATCCCATTACAAAACATTAAAGCCACTCAAGGTTGGTTTCATATGGTTGAAGGTCTTTCTATTCTACCGATTACCAATTAGTTTTGAGTTACAACTTCCAAGACGATACTAAGTAAAGTTTGGGTGGTTAGTGGACCAAGTATCTTACCCATTTGAATTTCTCGATATGCATATTTGTCATTTAATTGTTAGCTCACATGCGATTCTAGATCCCATGTGAGGGAGGGTGTAAATATATCTTGTATCCCACATTGAAATATTAGAGCACTCCAGATTGGTTTGGTTTTTATGGTTGAGGAGTCTCTTCACTCATTGTTAATTGGATTTGAGTTAGATGCACTAACAGATATAACTCTTACATATAGTGATGGTAAAATTGCGCTGTCCTTCTTAATAACAATAACAATTGGATTTGGCAAAGTTCGCTAATTCGTTCTATTTCAGAGTTTTGAGTTTTAATAACAAGTAAAATTGTTATCCAATATTGCAGGCGACCGACTTGATTGTTCTTTATTGGTTACCTGTTTGTTGCAGGTTTATCTATATTACTCCCTTTGCGAATAGATTGGCAATGAGTGTTCCACCTCACATTCAATTTCTGAGATGCCTTGCCAATTATGAAGCATTGAGATTCTCTTTACCCATTTCAACCCTTGGAAAGAAATTAATCGACAGAATGATTGAGAGGAGCGCAAATTCTGGTGGGAAGTATATTTCCATCCACCTTCGATTTGAGGAGGTAAACAATTCTAATTCCATGTATCTTCTGAGGTGTTTTCAATCTCATTATGTTTGTTGATTTCTAATCTTAGCAATAATAAGGCATCTATGCTTTGCGTAGGATATGGTGGCCTTTTCATGTTGTGTATATGATAGAGGAGAGGCTGAAAAGGCTGATATGGATGTAATACGTGAAAAAGGCTGGCGAGGCAAGTTCACTCGGAAAGGCCGTGTAATTGACCCTGCTCTCAATCGTGTCACTGGAAAGTGCCCTATGACCCCTTTGGAGGTTAGTTTTTGGAACTCTTGAAATCTATTTTCCAGAGAAAGTAATTTTGATGTGGATCATGTGGAGATTTGACTTTGGATTGTTGTTATATCAATTCCTTTTCCATGTTTTGTTTACTGTCTTTATATGAAACTAGAATAGCTTCTGGTATGATCCCTGAAACATGTACACCTGCCTCTCCCGTGGCTATGTTGTACCATGCTACAGTGCAGCCTTTTCCTCTTTCTAATGGTCAAATTCGTTGCCCACTATTAAATTATGTTGTAATTGAAATCAGCTTCAAAAGGAAAGGAATGTGCATTCCACATTACATCCTGATATATGCATGCGCATTGGTGTGTGCACGTATTCGTATACTCCTTTATGTACATAACCTGGTATAAACCCATAGATCTTATCATTAATGCAACCTTCATTTTGCTCATTCATGGAGTTGTATTTAGTACTTCTAAGAAATATGGTTATCCACTGTCATCGGTAATGTGGGTTGGCTTAGGGGCTTTGAGTTTGAGGTAAGACTTCCTTTGGAAGGAAAAGGGGTGAGCGAAAATGGTTATATTTGTTTGTCGATAAGCAGATTGGTAAAGTAAGCGCAACTCGCTCGGACTTTTGTTGTAGTGTGAGCCTTCAAAGTACCCAAAGTTAGGCAATCGGAACGAATTCCTTGTATGGATCCCTCTCTCTGTTAATGACTGTTCTTAGGGAATAGAATCTGTTGCCTAGGAGCTCAGACGGAATGAATTTGGATTTTTCTTGGCCACCTTCCTCCATAACACTGGACAGTGTTGGATATATTGTGTAAGAATTTAGCAGTGCACAGATTCATATTGCTATATGCCCTTTTCTCCTTTTGTTTTGCCTAATTATTTCATGGCGGGGAAGTCATAATTTAAGCTCATGACCTTAAAGTGAAGGATAATTTGTCCATATCTTATTGGCGATTCACTTTTCGCGTGGTGATTTTTTGTTCATTTTGTGAGATCTTTTTTACACTCTTCCTTGAACATTTTTGTTGTCAATCCTTATATTCTGCTAATTGTCTTAACTCTCTGTATTCAAAGTATTAGTTTTGTGCTCCTAAGTTCTAGCTTTTGTGTGCCTCTTTTTTTTTTTTTTCCCATTTTGTTTTAGTTGTGCTTCAAGTTTAATCTAGTGGAAGGTGTGTTTGTTTTGCTGTGCACTTCTGTTTATTATGAATGTTCTTTCTGTGCAATTCTATTTAATATGACAAAATTTACATATGTACAAAAAAAAAGAAGAAATCTGCACTGCATCTTATTAAGAGAGTTTGTATCCACGTCAAATAATTAGGACCACCAAGTTTGGTTTATATACTTGAAGAGTCACTCCACCCATTGTTAATTGGTGTTGAGTTGGATGCTCTAACATGGTATAAAAGCTAGGCATTGGGTGGTTAGTGGACTAAGTCTTCTACCCTTTGAATTTGCCGATATGCAAAGTTGTTTGTTTGTTTGTTGACCCCACGTACGACCCCAGGTCCCACGTGAGGGAGAGAGTTGGGCATTGGGTGGTTAGTGGACCAAGTCTCCTACCTATTTGAGTATGTATAGTTGTTTGTTTGTTTGTTGACCCCACGAGTCTGGATCCCATTGGCAATTGGTTTTATGTTGAATGCTCTAACACATCTTTTTATTGTTTTCACATGGTGGCTATGCTCATGTGTTGCTATATAGGGTTGTTCAGCTCATTGTGTGCTGATTTACCCAAGAATACATGCATTTCGGTAAGTATGCCATGTTTTGTGATATCTTTGGATTTTCTCCAGAAAAGCATAAATGGTCTTTGAGAAGTTTTATATTCTTCTGTCTCCTCATCTCATAGAAGGTAAACCAATTAAACTAGCTGGAATTCGACTCAGTAAAGCAAGGATGGCAAATGTTAATGCAACAAAATTTAGCTTTTACTGTTTACAGTGATTGTTTATGTGAAGATGTAATGCACCTTGGTAGCCAGTACTCATCCATTCTTGTGGATGTGGACTAATCTATTCGATGTTTTTGCTTCAACCTATTTAGACAATTGCAAGTGCATCCATAATTACGTTCATATAGTTCTGTCCTAGCCAGTAATTAGTCCCTTTTTTTTTTCTTGCATTTTTCTTGTCAGCATAGGTTGGGATGATGCTAAGAGCTATGGGATTTGCCAACAACACACCAATATATTTGGCATCTGGGAAAATTTACCAGTCAGAGAGAAATCTCGCCCCTTTATTTAATATGTTTCCTCTCCTACAGACAAAGGAGTCACTTGCAAGCCCAGATGAGCTTGCTTTGTTTCAGGTAGAAATCTGTACTATTTCTGTCACAACATGATATTTTTCATCACTAATGCTGATTATGCAACCCTAAATCTTTGCCCAGGAGCTTGTTGGATTTTGTTGACTAATTGTCTTGGCAAATCAACCATCTGCAATGAAGCAGTCCTTATTTTTGTCATCCTGGTCATCATTATTTGCATCTATCTATTCGATCACACTTCACCATTCCTGTTTTTATTGTGAGGCCGAATTTAACTAAAACGTGAGTGTTGGAAAGGCACAAACGCTGCCTGGTCCTTTTTTAATCGATAACCTTCTTTCCCTTTTGAATTGAGCTCCCCCGCCAGTGCCACTTACAGTAGAAAAATCTTGACGAATAACGATTGAGTTGTCAATGCAATGACCAGTGTTATTTTATATCCAAAGTCTGAACTTTCATGATATAATGGTGACTAGAGTGTTTGGAAAGCAGAAGTTAAAGAGATTTGGGAAGCGACATGGCTGTAAAATATTGCCTTGCTGTCATGCTTGATGATTTGGAAAAATATTACTTGACATTTCCAGTTTGTAAACTTCTTCAGAGACTGGAATCAAGATTCAATCAAAAAGAAAACCTAGAATTTTGGACTCTGTAAAACACGCTGCCCTACAAATTTAATTCTTTATGTCTTTCAGGTATCAATGCTTACCACATCAAACAATAGTGTTGTGCCTCTGGAAAATTTGCATTAGGATATACCATATAATTTTGAGTCTTGTATAGTTGTCATCACCTCATGGTTTACGTTAAATAGAAACAACCGGCCAAATTCATGTTGAAGAGGTTTTTGGCTTTTTTGTTTTTACCATGTCCAAGTGTTTGTCACATCCCAATGAGAAAGCTTACTACAAACGGGCCGAAATAACTGCTGTACCACACTGTGACTAACAGATCTGGAGATCCTATAGACTAACTAATTCAACCTTATTTAATATTATTGACTTAGTTTCTGGTAAACCAAGAGAATGCTATGGACTCAGTTGATTGTTTTGTTTCTCTTTCGGCTGTCAGGGCTATTCTTCAAGGTTGGCTGCTTTGGACTACATGGTATGCTTGTTGAGTGAAGTATTTGTAACCACTCAAGGTGGAAACTTTCCACATTTTTTGATGGGTCACCGAAGATTCCTCTACAATGGACATGCTAAAACCATCAACCCTGATAAACGCAAGCTTGTTGTTTTACTGCACAACACAAGCATCAGGTTATCTCCCTTTCTACATCTTTAATAAACAAAATATGTTTCTGCATCTATCATAGTATAGCATGAATTATTGGAGATTTTACGTTAGTGTACTTTCCGATGGAGATAATTAAATGAAAGCAGTGATCAATGACTGAATTAGGCACGCCTTACTGAAGATGTTATTATAATACAAAAGTTTCTTGCATGTGTTGTGGATTTACTGAACTCGAAATAACAAATCCTGACAACAGATTGTGCCTTCAAGGAGTAGCCTCACTGTATGGGATGTGGGAATTTGGCCAATATAGACATCAGTGCCATGTAAATGCTCATCTCCTTTCTTTGTGAGCTAAAAATGCTTATCTTCCTTCAGAAGTGCAAATGTTTATACATGAGTTTGACTGACCTTAGGCTCGAAACCAATCAAAACATCATAGTAAATTTCCAACTACAGACTCATTATCCTTTTTTATTGTTTTTATTGACTCATTATCCTAGGTTGTTTTGGTCTGGTAGAAGTTATTTCATCTTTGATCAATTGAAGTGGGTTTCGATCCTATTGTCTGTCAGGTGGGGAGAGAGAGGGAGATGTGTATTTTTCTCCTGAACTATGATGCATTTATGGTCAAAAAATTTAGAATTTTGCTTACCCAAAAAAAAAATTAGAATTTTACTGTGAATTTCTAGCGTTTAGAAATATTTTAAAACCGTCTGTTCATTGGTTTGCAGTTGGCAAGATTTGAAAGATCAAATGGGAGCAATGCTAGCTGAAAGCGACCGCAAGGGTTTAATGGTACCTAGAGTTAAGAAATACGACAGAAAGACCTCTATCTATTCAAATCCATTGCCGGGATGCAGGTGTCTATGGCAATCACAAAACTCATCACTCAAATGGACCAATATTTCCCACATCAATCAATGAATTTGAACCCGCGAAGTGAAAACTGGCTCATGCTACAGTTCCTTCTCACTTGTGCAGCCTTCAGTTTTACACTGGAATTACAATTTTTCCCCAGGGGGAGCGGTGGTCATTGATCCTACACTTCTTAATACCCCAGACGCCACAAGGCTGCCATAGATAGTAGTGCATGTAAGTTGAAGAGTTGTGAATCGTGGTTTGGTGAGGAATTCCTTCTTGGGCATTTTTCCTTTTTTGGCATTCAGCAGATAGATTTTCAAACTCTAGCCTGATTCAGTTATAGATATGCTCGGCTTTGAAGATACTTGGTCATTTTGATGTGGGAAAGTTGCTCTTGATCTTGAATGGAGAGCATAAGCTGAGTTTGGTCTAGAACGTCTGAGGTTGACAGAATCTTTGAGTTTTTCTTTCCAATCTAGGAACCAAAAATCAAGTGTAAATGGTTAAGCAATTTTGCAATTTTTTGCTTTACAAATTCCTTGTCTTTGAATTCTTAACATCCGTGCTAATGGACCTTTGCAATAGTTAAAGTACATTGTTTCCTAGGTAGCCGAATTCGTGGGAGATGAATCAAGAAAAAGGGGTTACCAAAAAGGAATAAGAGAGCTTGGAGACTTTTATTTGCAAAATTCTAGTAAAAAATTATGATTTTACCTACATGGAAGTAGTAAACGTTGGAGTTTATGTTACAAGCTCACATCCAAGGATGGAACCAGGATTCATACTGTCAATACATAATGTTTTGATCTAAGATTTCAATTCTTCCGTGTTTCGGCAATAACATATTGTTCCATGGAGTTAAGATCCGAAATAGGGAAGAAACAAGTGTTTCCACGACTCTTTTACACAGTTGTTTGTAGTAAAATGCACAAATTAATTCTGACCATCATAATAAATTAGTTTGTGACAACTCATGATCCTCATATTTTCGAATTGTTATATGATGTAGTGAGTACTGAATTATTTCATAGATAATAATTTCACACAATATCATTTTAAAAGTCAGTCGTGAGTTAACGTGTTGATTTTAATATAAGTCACATTTGTAATTTGATTGTTTAAAAACTTCAATTGATTTGAATTTCTTTTGGATTAAACTCATCCAATCAAATATCACCTGTTAGAAAAACATTACTACTCATCCTTGTAACTGCATCCCATTTGTTATAAAATATCAACTCATTGATCTTTTTTAATATACTAAGGGAACTACTTATGTATGAGATTTTCTGAAAACTTAAAGAGATATATAGAATTTTTTAAAAATTTATGGGGGTGTTATAGAGATTTTTGAAAATCTGAGGGGCCACGGCACCCTTGGTCCATCCATAGGTTCGCCCAATCTTCAACTCTTCTAGAAAATATTCAACTCTTCTAGAAATTAGGTGAACACAACTAATTTCTACCATTCAAATTGAGAATTGTTTTAGTTGTGTATTGACAATATTAGACATAATAATTGTGTATGACTATTTTTTTCTAATTTCTACCTTTGTCTTTTTTCTCCTTTGTGCCAAAATAGATCATAAGCCAAAATGACGAAATTCACATGTATGATGTGTCAAAAAGACGTACACATCATCCTAGTGCATATTTCTTCATAAAAATTTTATTTGTAAATTATTTTCAAAGTGTTGAAACCCACAGGAAATTATCATATATCTGGTACTAATTCGATATCATACCTAAAAAATTTGAAATTGGTGGTGGGCGACAATAGTAATGGTGGGAGATGGTTGTGGTTGTGGTGGACGGTGACGACGGTGGTAGCTGTGGATGATAACGGTGATAGTGGTGGTGGATTTTGGGTGACGATGATGTTAGTAACAACATGGATGACGACGGTGGTGGTGGTGGGCAACGGATGCTTCTGGACGATAGTGTAATTGGTGGTAATGAATAACAGTGATGGCGGGGTGGGTGATAGTGGGTGGCAATAGTGATGGGCAATTACGGGTGGGGTGGTGGCAGGTGTGGTGGGGGTGAGTGATATTGGCTAGCGACGATGGTGGACAACGATAGATGGTGGTGGGTTGTCATAGTAGGTGGCGATGGTTGTGGTGGTGGCGATGGGGCAATAGGGGTGGTGGTGGGGTAGTGGCGTTACTGGGATAATGTCGGCAATGGTGGCGGTGACGACAATGGTGGGGTGCTGGTGATGGTGGTGGTAATGATGATGGTGGTGGGGCGGTAAGGATGATGGTGGGCTAATGGCGGTGGTGGTGGTGGTGACGATGATGGTGGTGGGGTGGCTATGATTATGGTTGTGATAGTGGGGATGGTGATAGTGAGGGTGGTGACAGTTGTGGTGGTGGCGGCGGGGATAGTGGTGATGATGGTGGGGTGGCAACAATTATGGTGGCAACGATAATGGTGGCTGTTGTGGCAAAGGTAGTGGTGGGGTGGCAGCGGCAGTGGTGATGGTGGTAGGGGCAGTTCTAAAAACTATTTTTTCTTTAAAGTACAAATGAGAAGTTATAAATCTTAGAAATACTTTTAAAATATTACCTCAAACACACCCTTCAGGACCTATTTTTTCTATTAAATTTAGGGTGTTAATATTAATTGTCGAATTAATGTATTTATAGATATTTTATCATTGTATTTATATATGAAATCAATGTATACATAATCTATATAATAAAAGTACAATACAATTTAAATCTCAAAAGATAAACAAAATGACTTTTACTTTTCGCGGTTGAGATCTTTTTAAATTTTACTTTAAAGTTAATTTAACGGCTAATATTAATATCTCAAATTCAATAGAAAAAATATACCCTTAAGAGTGTGTTTGTAGTAATTTTTTAAAAGTATTTTTACAATTTATAACTTCTCAAAAGTACTCAAAAAAAAGTAGTGTTTAGAATCGTCCTATCACCACCACCACAATTACCCCCCACCACCACCGCCACCGCCACCACAGCTACTCCACAACCACCACCGGCCCACCATGACCACCTCCGGCCCACCACCACCACTCCCCTACCACCACCACCGCCGCACCTTTGCCACAACCACCACCATCACCACTACCACCATCATCGTTACCGCCACCCTACCATCACCCCCACAGCCCCACCACCACTACTACTACCCCACTTCTGCCACAACCACCACCACCACAATTGCCCCACGAACACCATCGTCATCGTCATTTCCACTGTTGCCACCTCACAATCACCGCCACCATAGCAACCCCCCACCACCACAACCATTGTCGCACCTTTGCCACAACCACTACCACCACCGTTGCCGTCACCCTACCATCACCCACACAACCCCACCACCACCACCAACATCGCGTCACCCCACCACCACCGTCGCCATTTCCACTGTCGCCACCAACACCACCCTCACTGTCCCACCACCACCATCTTCACCACTGTCTCATTATCACCCAACGCCCCCATCACCACCCCCATAACCATCACCACTGTCACCCACTCCCACTAGACCTACAACCATCACCGTCATTCGTCAACACCCATCACACTGTCACTTAAAAATACTCGTCGTCACCCATCACCACCATCGTTACCGTCCACCACCACAACCTACCACCGCCATCATCACCGTCGCCCACCACCACGCACACCCTCCACCATAACTATCATCACCTATGGATGTCACTACCACCATCGTCACCCAAAACTCACTACCACCATCACCATTGCAACCCACAACTGTCACCACCACCACGGTTGTCATCTCCCACCACAATAATCATCGTTTTCCACCACCACCACCACTACCATCAGTGCTTAAATTTCTTCTTTTTTTTCTCTCTGTTTGTGATTTGATTTTAAGTGTGAATACAAATATATTTATTATTGATACATTTCAATATAAATAATTAACTTTTTATCAACTTTCTTTCAATTTTAGTGAGTGAGAATGAAAGCTCATTCATTTATTTTTTTATCCTTTCTATTTTTCTTCCTTATCAAACATGATATTTTATTTATACCTTCAACTTTCCGTCCTTTCAATTTTTTATCGTACTAAACGGAGCATTAATATTAACCAAGTTGCTAGTTTTTCAATGGGCCAACCATATTCAATCCTCTTAATATTTCCTTTCTAATTTTTTTTTTCCTTACTATAATTAATTGACATCAGTGAATTTCGAATTAATCAATGACAATTAGGGTAGCGAACAGGGGCGAAGCCAGACATATTCTCCAGTGGGGGCAACTTAAACTATATTAATATTAAAATTTAAAATATTCACAAAAGTATAATTTTATTAATAGAACATCAATTAAAGACGTAATTCATATACATGAGCGATATACAAAATGAGTCAACAAAAAAAAACTCATTATAGATTTATCTATAAGACCTAACAAAATAATTTTGAACCGCAAAATTGCGTTCAATCATATATTAAATTTTAAAAAAAAATTTCATAATTAATTCAAAAATTAATTTGTTCAATCACAAATTTAATATTCATCATTAAATTTTAACAAACAATCAAAACTAACTTAAACTATAATTATTCTAATAAACTAAACCTAGGTATATGAAGTACTTAACTTATCACAATAAAACTGTTCAAACTACCAAATCAAAATAATTTAGTCTATGTATAATGGAGGACTACAAGTCCTAATTTCAATTCTACAAATAAAAATAAAACAAATGAGACAAGTACAAGTTCTAATTCCAATTCAACATATAAAAATAAAATACTAGAGAGGACTACAAACCCAAATATCAATTAAATATATAAAAAAATAAATCATAGAAGAGGACTACAAGCCCCAATTTTATTTCAACATAGAAAATAAATACAAGACTACAAATCCTAGTTTCAATTCAATACATAAAAAATAAAACATAAGAGATGATCACAAGCCCCAATTTTATATTTTCAATTTAACATGTAACAAATAAAATACAACAGAAAGCTACAAGCGTTAATTTCAATTCAACATTTAAAAAATAAACCACAAAAGAGGGCTACAAACCCTAATTTTCAATTCTAACATATAAACATAAAACAAAGAAGAGAATTACAAGCTCCAAATTTAATTCGATATTAATTAATCTTTAAATGTCCAAATTTTTGATATAATCTTCCATTGATATTTACAAGTGAAACTCATATATTTGTCAAAATAACATAACTACCCTTAAATCTTTTTAAAAAAATTCAGTGGGGGCAAATATCTAATAAATTCTTAATTTTTTAAAATTACACTTAATCCCCAGAAAGTTTTAAAATTTCAATGGGGCAGCTGTCCCCACTGCCCTCGCTGTGAATCCGCCCTTGGCAGTGAATGGTACAACTCATTCGGATAATGAAACCATCACAGGATGATATGTTCAAACATGCATTTAGAAGTTTCGTGATTTTGTTGACAAGTGATTGGCAAACACTTGTACGCTGTCCCTAGTTGCATTGAATTTTCTAAATTGGTTTCTTTTGCTTGTTGACTAAGGATAAATTATATTTTAAGCCTCTTAATTGTGAATTCGATTTTACTTTACGCCTTAAACTATTTTCTTTTTTTTGGTTAGTACGCCTTAAACTATTAAAACAGTGCATTTGCACTTTTTTTTGCAAATTCAATCTGCTCATTAAATCGGTTGCTCTTCACCAGT